CACACAGAACTTGACAATGACTCTTCCACTAGAACCACTGTGAGAGGCGACTGCCATATTCACCTCAGACGAGCTTTGTTTGGTCAAAATGTTTTGTTGTTCAAAGGGAGAATATTATGGACAGCTTACCAATCACTCAGGAAATGCTCCATCTTTTTTTTTTTTTATGTTTTTTGTTTTGTTCATCAAAGTTTTGTACACAAAGAGGCAATAGATTCACCGTGACAGTGTTGCAAGGTTACATCAACAAACAACATTGGAACAGGGTGGTCAGTCTGGTCATACTATAGATCACGGCTGTTATGCATAACAATGTCAGTCCTTAAAGTAGAGTAGAAGAGGGAAGACACAAGAAGAAACAAAAAATAAATAAATACATACATCAATACAATAATTATAAGGCTTAATTGCCAAACAGAGGCAAGCAGCAGGACAGAGCAGGATCCTATTCAGGAACAAGTGGGAAAATAATCTTTTCTGCATAAACAAGGAAGGGGCCCCACATTAACTAGATCTGACCATGTCTACAAATATGTTTTTTTTAATTATACATACATTCATCTATGAAGCTAACCCCAGTGCAATACTGTGTCCATAAACACATGTAGGTAGTTAATGCAGATGCAATAATAAAATGTGCATATATGTCTTTGTATCTAACCCCAGTGCAATACTGCATACATAAACACATCTATGAATGCTTACTCCAGTGCAATACTGCATACATAAACACATCTATGTGTGAGAGATTCTGTTTATTTGATGGATTGCCCCTTGAGATGAACCATCTCGTTTTCGAGGGGGTCCAACACAAAAACAAAAACACAACAGTACAGTGTGATACAGACAGTCAAGCACAAAATACACACATAAACATAAAGGCTCTCAAACACCCATCCGTCCGCGTATCCCTCCCGCAAAGCCACAGCACCCACACAAAGTAGATGTACATAGTGACATATGCAATTAAGATATTAGAGGGGTAAGAAGACATTACCATTAGAAGCAGAAACATGGTTTTGTGAGAAAAGGTAGCACTGATTTCTTAAAAATGTGTAGTGAATTTATTGTTCTGATGTTTATAGGTAGATTGTTCCAGTCAGAGGGAGCTTTGTAGTTGAATGCCAATTTCTTTATTGGTTTTAGGAACAAGAAAAAAAGGCTGCTGAGTATGTCTTAAAGAATATGAGGAATTGTGTAGTGTTAAATGTTGTTTTAAATAAGAGGGAAAATTGAAGTGGAATCATTGGAGCCAATGGTAATGTCTTCTTGCATTCAGGGGTAACCAGTTCAAGGTTTCGTACATGGAGCAGTGATAAGTTCGGTAAGGACACCTTAAAACAAATCTGCAGAGGCTATTGTAAATAACATTAAGAGGTTGAAGATGTGTTTCAAATGTATTCTGATAAACAATGTCGCCATAATCCAGTATTGGTAATAACAATTGTATAACAATTATTTTCCTCATCTGTAAAGTAAAGCAATTTATAGAGCGATAGAGAATACCTAGGTTGCGACTTAATTTGTTTGTAATGGATTCAATATGTTGTTTAAAAGACAGAGCGGGATCAATCCAGAGACCCAGGTATTTAAAAGAGGAGACACATTCAAGGGATGATCCATCATTAAAAGAAATGGTCAGATCTGGAGTTTCTCCAAGGCCTTGTCTAGTACCAAACAACATACAACATGATTTATTTTTGTTTAGTGATAGTTTGTTGGTTGTAAACCAGTTTTGAACAAGGGAAAACTCACTTTGTAATGATCTTTCAATTGAGGATCTATTAGCATGGGATGAATAGATTACGGTGTCGTCAGCATATAAGTATATTTGACAGTCTGAGCAAATTTTGGGGAGATCGTTAATGAAGATGGAGAAAAGGAGTGGTCCCAGGGATGAGCCTTGTGGCACACCCTTCTCCATTGTCAGGTAATTTGATAAGTTTCTGTTAAAGCTAACACACTGGCGTCTGTTATGAGGGTAGGAGTTGAACCAAAGTAGAGTATTTCGAGTTACACCAATAGAATTAAGTTTGTCCAGAAGTAAATAGTGATCAACAATGTCGAAGGCCTTGGTTAGGTCGAGAAAGATTGCACCAGTGAGTTTGTCGTTTTCAGAGGCAGAAAAAACATCGTTTGTAAATTTTAAAAGCGCTGTAGATGTTGAGAAGTTAGGTCTGAAGCCAGACTGGCATGGAGACAAAATGTTAAAGATGTTAACATAGTGGGATAGTTGATTGAAAATGAGTTTCTCAAAGATTTTAGCTAGAGAATTCATAATTGATATTGGGCAGTAATTGTTAGTGTCACGAGGGTCGCCTCCCTTATGAAGTGGAGTGACTATGGCACATTTCCAAGTGGAAGGGAGAGTACAAGTTGCTATAGAAAGGTTAAATAGGTTGCAATCTATGCTAACGCCAGTGCAATACTGCGTACATAAACACATCTATGTATGCTAACTCCAGTGCAATACTGCGTACATAAACACAGCAATGTATGCTAACTCCAGTGCAATACTGCGTACATAAACACATCTATGTATGCTAACTCCAGTGCAATACTGCGTACATAAACACAGCAATGTATGCTAACTCCAGTGCAATACTGCGTACATAAACACATCTATGTATGCTAACTCCAGTGCAATACTGCGTACATAAACACATCTATGTATGCTAAGTCCAGTGCAATAGTATGCGCATAAAAATGTATGTATGCATGCAAACTCGGGCTACGTGCAAACACACCAGCACTTCCTCCAGGACAAATGTGCAATTTACATCAACACCTCAATAATGTGCAATACTCAATCACTTTTGCACTTTAATACTCATACAGGGTCTCTGCAGACACAGTCACCACCATTGAGCAGCTTTACTTTAGTATAAGTCTGTATTTTATCTTTTCAGGTAAAAGCTGCTGACACAACCTTTAAATGATTCAATTTATGCTGTGGTGATTGGACAGTTCTGTGTTTTTTTCCTTGTTTGGTGCTTGTGTTTTTGTTCTTTCAGAGGCTGGGTGTGGCTTATCGGCTGCTGGAGCTCTCTGCAATCACTCACGTGTTCGTCATCTGTAATCACCGGCTGCAGCATTTATACCCTGGTTCAACTCTCCTAAACTGCGAGATTATTTCTGCCTACACAGTGGTAGATTGGCTTCGCAGCATCAGTAAACTTTTGTGCTTTGGATACCCGTTACTAATTATTCCCTTGTCTTCTTTTTTCCCCCAGTGCCTCCAACTACCGAGCTCCAGCGCTGCACCACCCAGCCTCTCATTCAAGCCTCACGTCAATAAATACCCCTTTACCCACCACCCTGTTTTCCGGTTTTGCTTTTGGGTCCACTAAAAAACCTTTAAGGCCGTAACATATGCACCAGATTTAGTGTGGGTACTTAATCTATGTAGAAGTTTGAGGAGGCTACAGGCCTGAGAAGTTCGTGATTTCTTCATCTCTTTTCAGTTAGAATAAGAACACCTATATTTTTTTAAGTATAGCTTTTTCTTAAAGTTTCACTGGATTTGGTTTTGTGTTATAAGAGAACATCTCCAATGAAAAAACACAAGTGGTTCACTAACTGATGAAGGTCATCTTGTGTGTCAGTGTAGTAGGTTGAAAACGAGCTGACATGAGCAACATGCTAAAAGTTTGTCCTCTTATCATTCCGGTAATATGAATCTTTATATCTCAACTTTAAGCTGGTTCTGTATCTAATGAACATGCAGTTTAATTTTGCTGTCATGTTGTAACATGAGCTACAGTTTTATATGTTTGTAAGATCAGTTTGTAGCTGTTTGTCACCACATGTAGCATGTTGCTAAGTTTAGCCTCGCGAGCCGAGTGAAATGAGTAGTTTCGTCAGTGTAAGTAACTCAAGTAAATGTAAAGCAAACGTTCCGAACAAGAGGAATATATGTTTTGTACATTGTTAAAAGTATTAGCTTCAATAACTTGTTCGTAAAAGTAATGGTGATAATGATATGATTTTACGTTCTGTTTCACATGATTGTTGAACGCTACTGTGACGCAGCGGCGCCATTTTCTTGCACAATGGTTGTGTACAGAGACGCGGGAAAGTGTGTTGTTTGTAATTTCATGTTTATGAAGCTGTACGTGTAAAAGCTTAGTTAACTGTGAGACTAGGAGCAGAAGTCTAAGTAAATGTGTGTAATGTTATTATATTTTGATATCTTTGTATTATGAATTGTATGTCTGTCTACATGTATTTAATTTAAAACTATTTTGAAGTATGTGAATGTATATTATGTTAAACAGTATTTTATTTTAATTTGCATTGTCAAAGAGTTTACTTTATTATTTGATGAAATGTGTTGGTTAATGGAAAAGTTGATGTGTCAGACAATAAACGAGCTGACATGAGCAAGACGCTAAAAGTTTGTCCTCTTATCATTCCACAGGCTACGCAGTGCTTCCCAGCCTGTGTAACCTTTGCTGCCGGTCCAGATTTCCCCTAGGTCTGGTGCCGGTAACATCAGCGCAATAAAGATTTTCGAATAAAGGGATGTAAATATGAACAATTTTTTTATCTGATTAATTGATGAATCAGAAAACAATGGACTGATTAATAGACTATTACAATGATCGTTAGCTGCATCCCTAGTTTAGAGTTTTTCATAACTACTTTTTTCTAAAGATTTTGTTTCGATTTCTCAAAATAGATAGAGAAAACTTCTTGCATAAACAAAAGAAAGAGCCACAATCCTAAAGACAATGAAAAAAGAGACAGAACATACCACAATAACACACTAAACTCACATTAAACTGACCACCTCGCCTTAAGTCCTGTTATATCTGATTGATTTTGAGAAAATATCAGAAATATAGATTAAAACGTTTTAGCACACTAATTGAATATGGACTGGTGTTTAATAAAAGAAAAAGAGGGACAAACTAAATAGCAGATTCTCCACCCACACAAAGAAGCATGATGTAAAGCCAGAGGGAGAGACTACTGTTCATGTGAATGAAAACGTGAGCATGGAGGCGGTAAGCAAGAAGAGGGATAAAAGAGCTGTGAGACTGTCAGCACTGGCCACAAAGATGTCTGGGGGGAGAAGCTTCTCTCATGTGAAGGAGACCCAGGCAGAGGGTGAACTCTGCTTTCCTCAGCTTAACTCCTCTTGCAGGAAGCCTACACATCCTCAAACTGAGGCCATGCTGATTTATGTCCTGCTGTCCATTATTTCTGCGCTCACCATGGCTCTTAATCTGTTGGTCATCATCTCCATCTCCCACTTCAGGCATAAATATATAATATTCTAAAATGTTTTAATCGTTGACTGTGATCTCTCTGTCATTGCTTTTGCCCTCTTGCCTTTAGACACATTGCTGCATTACTTTGTCATCCTTTGTTTATGATTTAAAAATATGTGCACTGATCATTTTCTCCCTTTCCAGGCAGCTCCACACCCCCACCAACCAAATCCTCCTGTCTCTGGCTGTCTCTGACCTCCTTGTGGGCCTTGTGATGATGCCGGTTGAAATCAAGTACATAGAGGCCTGCTGGTTTCTCGGTGACTTTATGTGCACTCTGTATTATGTGTTGGATTACGTCATTACCTCTGCCTCAGTTGCAAACATGGTTCTCATATCAATTGACCGCTATATAGCTATTTGTGACCCTCTGCATTATACCACTAGAGTGACTAAGGAAAGAGTACAAGGCTGTGTCTGTTTGTGTTGGATTTGTTCTGTTATCTTCAGGATTCTTCTTCTGCAGGATCACCTGGCACAACCAGGCAGGTCCAACTCCTGTTTCGGAGAGTGTGTGGTTGTCATTAATTACATTGCAGGAGTTGTTGACCTTGTTTTCACCTTCATCATGCCCATTTCTGTCATCATATTTTTGTATATGAAATTGTTGGTGGTGGCTGTGTCTCAGGCTCGTGCCATGCGCTCTCACATTGCAGTGGTGGCAGCTCAACGCTCAGGACCACTTACTGTGAAGAAAACAGAGCTGAAAGCTGCCAGGACTCTCGGTCTTGTTGTCGTCGTGTTTCTGTTTTGTTTCTGTCCTTACTATTACCCCGTGTTGGCAGGACAAGATACTTCAGTGGATGCTTCATCTGCATCCGCTGAGATCTGGTTGGCACATTTTAACTCCTGTTTAAACCCTGTCATATATGCTTTATTCTACCCCTGGTTCAGAAAGTCCATCAAACATATTCTGACCCTTAAGATATTGAAGCCTGGCTCACGTGATGTTAAAATACTTTAATGAAATGCAGCAGAATTTGAAATGTGTCTTTGGGAAAGGAGACATTTAACAGCATGTGTAACTCTGAAGCAGAACTATCCAGTATAAATTATAAACCTGTTGTGGCTCTTATAGCGTATATTATATATTCATGAAACTTGATTCATCTCTGTCTCTTATCCCTGTCTCATATTCTTTAATTTTTCATCGCATGCATTATTCAGGGCTGTACGTTAACTGTTGTCGCTCATAGCACTGGTTGCAGCAGAGGTTGATGATCTTGCAGCACAACATATAAAACTCACATCTTTGACACCAACCACAAGCAGTTCAGTTTATCAGTTACACAGGTTGTGACAGGGAACAGTTCAGTTTGTCTATTGTATCTGCCCCTGTCAAATAAACCATAAATAAATAAGATAAACAAGTATATTTAAGCTTTTTTAATGTGTTATTTCAAGGCTGGTTTGAGTCTGCATGCACAAAGACATCCTCTGATTTAATCATAGACTAAATGAATATACTTCTAGCTTTTTATTATTTCCAAACGTGTGATGTGCAGGGTGCAAACAATTCATGTGTCTGATGCTGTAGCGAAAAAAAAGAAGTATCAAAACATTCAAATGCATCAGCATGCAGGGTTTGACCCTCTGGTGTGATCTCAATTATCCCCAGCAGATGGCAGCAACTACTCTGACTCATGGGTGCTGTCGCCGTGCACTTTTCTACCTGCTTTAGCCGTACTTATGATTTGTTTATTGCAGTGTCAATATGTAAATATATCATTCACTCTCTGTTAATGAGGGGCTAAATATCAAATGCAGCATCCTTGGGTTTGAATTTGATCTCGGCTCTTTGCTGCATGCAACCAACACAGAGACTTAATGTTTCAGCCTACGATAAAAAAAAAAGTTAAGGCTGGCCAACAGCATTGCCTCTGATGTCTGAAGGCAGTAGACTTAAGATAGACTTGTTGATAAGAATATGTCAGTGTTTCAGACTACGTACAATAAAGAGCAAGGGCTTTAAAATTAGAGATAAACCTCAGAGCTTCCTGATACACAGAGTCCAGAGCAGGTAACATCTTCTTAGTCCAGCACAGATAAAAAAAAAGTGGCAACTGCACTTCAGAAACAAGCGCTGAAAAAATGCAACCTGCAACTGACAATATTTGTGAGCGACTTTATAGAAAAACAAGCCCCAAGTCACTTATAACAAGCAGACTTGGCAAAACTGTTCTGTGGTTGTTTCTGGGAGATCGGGGAGCCCTCTATCATCTGTCTCTGCTTGGATGTTGTAGGTTTTATCTTTTTGGGGCACAGAGAGGAGAGGGACTTCTCCTTCTTCTCTTTTTTGTACTTTTTCTGGAAGTACATGACTGTGTTGGATGTCCTGACGTCAGTGGAGCAGTAGACAATTGTGGAGGGTCAGGAGGAGATGGGGTTCCTCTTCTCGTTCTCATCCTCCTCTCACTCGGTTCGCTTCCCAACTTATCAGCACCCACATTAGAAGAGTAAATTATAAATATATGTACTTTATTAGAGGGATTTAAATATATAAAACTCTACACAGTAGTCAATTTCAATTTAATTTAATTTGTAAGGGATCATGTGCAGTTAAAGCAGAAATGTAACCATTTGATGCATTGCACCAGAGTTAGCCTTGGGTAACTCAGTAACAGGGTTATTACATGCTGTCGACTTCAACCATAAACTTTACTACTGTTTATTTTAAACATATCGCCACTCTTTAATGATCATCCAATGTTTCTAACACGTAGGTGATACTTTGGCTGGCCGCCCAGGTGTATTTATGGCTGCCCAAATCTGTTTACCAACCTTTTTTATCACTAAAAGAGAAAGTAGAGAGGGAGAGAGACAGGGTCTGTAGGTACATCCCCTCTGACGTCTCATGTCAAAACAGAAGCTGCCTTCATTTTAAGATTCATCTGCAGTTTCTTGCTGTGGATGTTATTCTGTACGGCTGCACTGCTTTCGCATCCATGAAACCTGTGCAAGTCAATCAAAAAGACACCATATGATTCACAAAACACACATAGGAGGTTCAAATTGAATTGCCCTTCTGGAATTCATAAAGTTGTCTGAATCTGAATAAATGCTCCCTGAGTTGTGCTGCAAAGTTACCCTTTGCAACAATGCTGGTTGTGTATATTTATATGATCTTATGCAGACATGTATTGAAAACAAAAGCTGTCTCCTTTCTATATAATAACAAACATCATTGCATAGAAGTGTCCTAATCACAAAGGCACTAACAGCCATGCACAGAGTAAAGTAAAAACTGGGAGCCAGGCCTTTGAATCTGCAGGTCCCTCATACAAAGTGACAAAGCTGAGTGATTTGATCTTAGGTAGGACTGCCACCGACGTTGTTGATATTCTGGGTAACTTTCACCACAGTTTAATCACAGGATGCCAACACTCCTCTGGACCTGAGGAGGTGATCCAGCATGTCATGGCTGTCACTCATTCTGTGGTGCGTCCAAGCACATTATGTACATAACAGCTTCATGCTAACCTCCTGATACTAAACATTAACTTGATTTTTTTAATGTGAGGGGGGAACGTTGTTCCCTCCTGACACACAAACACACATACAAACACACACACAAATACACACCGTCAGCTAGCTAACATGCCGTGAAGCATTCACCTACCGTTTTAAAGCAGCTCCTCCAGACAGTGAACATCTGTAGTCCCACCATGGACATTATTAATTACAGTCCAGAGGCCGACGTCTCCTCCAGGTTCTGTTTCTGGTCTCCTCCAGGTTCTGTTTCTGGTCTCCTCCAGGTTCTGTTTCGGGTCTCCTCCAGGTTCGGTTTCGGGTCTCCTCCAGGTTCTGTTTCTGGTCTCCTCCAGGTTCGGTTTCGGGTCTCTGCCATGTTAGCATCTTTTGGGCTACAGTTAGCCGTTGGGCTAACTGATGATATACTGTAAACTTACTAGTTTCATATCAAGTAGAAAACAAGACATGAAAAACTAAACTACACGATGACAAAACGTTATTATTAAGATTATTTTAATAATGTTGTCGCTCCTCCTGAAGAAACTTTTGAAATAAGTGCGCCATGGCGTTAACGTTTTCCCGCACATTCCATCAACGACGTCAACGGTTATGACTGCGTCACTTAGGCTACGTCATCACGTAATTTTATGAAATATGATGACAAAAGTATAACGGTATATTACATTTATATGGAGGAGTATAAGTGCCACATTCGGGGGGGGGGAGAAAAACATCTAGGATTTTGAGATTAAAGTTGTAAATTTATGAAAATAAAGAAATAAAGGAAATAGCATTAAATTTACAGGAATGAAGTCGTAAGAAAGTCAAAGCTTACATTTACGAGAATTAACCAAAAAATCTACAATAAAAAGTTACTTTAATCGAGACTGTGTGTGTGTGTGTGTGTGTGTGTGTGTGTCTGTGTGTGTGTGTGTCTGTGTGTGTGTGTGTGTGTGTGTGTGTGTGTGTGTGTGTGTGTGTGTGTGTCTGTGTGTGTGTGTGTGTGTGTGTGTGTGTGTGTGTGTCTGTGTGTGTGTGTGTGTGTGTGTGTGTGTGTCTGTGTGTGTGTCTGTGTGTGTGTGTGTGTGTGTGTGTCTGTGTGTGTGTGTGTGTGTGTGTGTGTGTGTGTGTGTGTGTGTGTGTGTGTCTGTGTGTGTGTGTGTGTCTGTGTGTCTGTGTGTGTGTGTGTGTGTGTGTGTGTGTCTGTGTGTGTGTGTGTGTGTGTGTGTGTGTGTGTGTGTGTCTGTGTGTGTGTGTGTCTGTGTGTGTGTGTGTGTGTGTGTGTGTGTGTGTCTGTGTGTCTGTGTGTGTGTGTGTGTGTGTGTCTGTGTGTGTGTGTGTGTGTGTGTGTGTGTGTGTGTCTGTGTGTCTGTGTGTGTGTGTGTGTGTGTGTGTGTGTCTGTGTGTGTCTGTGTGTGTGTGTGTGTGTGTGTGTGTGTGTCTGTGTGTCTGTGTGTGTGTGTGTGTGTGTGTGTGCGTGTGTGTGCCGTGTGTGTGTGTGTGTGTGTGTGTGTGTCTGTGTGTGTGTGTGTCTGTGTCTGTGTGTGTGTGTGTGTGTGTGTGTGTCTGTGTGTCTGTGTGTGTGTGTGTGGTGTGTGTGTGTGTGTGTGTGTGTGTGTGTGCGTGTGTGTGCCGTGTGTGTGTGTGTGTGTGTGTGTGTGTGTGTGTGTGTGTGTCTGTGTCTGTGTGTGTGTGTGTGTGTGTGTGTGTGTGCGTGGGTGTGTGTGTGCGTGTGTGTGCCGTGTGTGTGTAAGAATGTCACTGCAGCCACGGCAACAGAAACACAAAGTGCAGACTCTGGACTACTTAGCAACAAGGAGTGAACACACACTTTCCCACAGAGAGCAGGCAGCAGGTACGTCCTTTGTTTTGTGCTTAAATGTGACAAGAAGCTTTAAATCTAAATCTACCTCCAATACTCAACCTTTTATTGGTAAATCTTTCTCTGATATTTTTTTTATGTCACTGAAACTTTGTAATCATGAAATGTTGGCGATTGAGTCGTGTTCACGCTGATGAGAAGATGTTTTTTTTTCTTAAAGTTTGGATTCCTCCCTTTTATTTGCTATCAGCTGTGATTTACATCCAGTTGTTGCATTAAATGCAAAACTCTCCCTGTTAGAATATATATATTCTCATTATAGCGTCGTATAGCTCTGTTTCTTCTTCCAAGGGAGACCCTCTTGCCACCCCTCCCAGCTGCAGGGATAGTCTCCCGCTGTGAGGTAATAATAATTTATAAGCGCTTTTAAAAAACTCAATGACACTGTACAATAGTTAAAAACATAAAGAACAGCACAGTAAGGACAGACTAACAGACATTACAACAGTACACACAAATCATAAAGATAAGAACAATAAAGGTAAAACAACAGAAAACAGAAAATACATCACAATCATACATTAAAATCTTGTTTGAAGAGGTGAGTTTTGATCAGTGATTTGAAAGTAGGAGGGTCGGTGCAGTGTTGAATGTGGTCGGTGAGGTGCATGTGTGAACAACCAGATCAGATTGTGTGCGGAGGTGTGAAGGCCGGGTCAGCGGTGCTTGCAGCTCTAGTTTCTTATATTGTTTTTTATCCTATTTAAATTGATGACGGTACGAGTGCTGCAGTAGTTACTACTTTCCTTTCTCTGTATTCATCATTATTGCACCAATAACACCCAGACAAATTGGCCTGCATGCCTCAAACCTCGTCCTTGGACTCCTCTGCTGTCAGAGACTAAATGACATCATGAAGGACTTGTCTCTCTCCCTGCTGAGTCGGGGTTACAGCCGATTCGTCTCGTCCAACACAAACGCGGGTAGACACGATGGACGACTGGAAGTGTGCTTCACACCTGAGGTATTTACACACTTACACTGAAATCTTAGCACTCCTGTAGCAGCTCTGCATCAAACTTTCTCAGATCATTTACTAATGAATCAGTCATACCATTCTTCATGTTATCAATGTTATCTGTTAATCAACCAATAGGATTACTTCATCTGGAAGTCCCGGGACTCTCTCCTGCGTTTGTCCGAGAGTGGCCGTCTGTTTGCGGAGGCGGAATCCACCCTTCCAAAGACGTACAGCACTCGCAGGGGGCCACTCCTGCTGTACTCTCAGGTAGTTATAATGGAGCCGTGGCACCCAAGACAGAAATGAACAAGAAGGACAAAACAAACAAACTTCCAGTGAAAACTGTTTTTTGTTTACCATCATCCATCTTTGATTTAGGAAAAGAGGGACCTCATGTTCCTGTGATGATTTCAAACTGTCTGTTCCTCGTGTCCGCACTGAGCTCGGGGAAAAGAGCGTTTAGTTTTGCCGCCCACTCTGCAGGGAACTTTCCCAGAATGACTTGAAACTGGCGGATCTCATTTTACTTGGAGTCTTTGGCACGTTCTTAAAAGATAAAAAACACAAGATCATCGGACAGTGTCTGATGTGTTTCTGAATTATAATCTATGATCACAACTTCTGCACAATTTAAATGTTGTTTACTCCTAACTTGTTTGTTAATGATGTCATGTTTAGGATGTTGTCCGCTGCTGCTGCCCTCTTGGCCAGCTCATCCTCGTTAAAGAGATCTTGATCTTGAGGTTAATCACCTGGATATATACAAATAAAACAATTAAAAGGGTTCCCATTTGTGACACCTTTCTTATAACCTTTTCTGCACCCAGGACTTGGTTACTGTAGAAACAGGTCTTCAATCCGAGATGAGAGAGAGGAAGAAAAAGGTTGTTCAGCGTTACACACAGGAAGTGGAACAGCAGCTGAGCACCCTGAGGGAGCTGACAGCGGCCATTTTGAACTACGGCAACAACCAGGTAGGCAGAATAGTGGAGCCGGTGTGTTATTTACCATCTGTCTTGTTGATGTAGTATGTTTGGGGTTGTTGTCTCATTTATTCAGTTTTATAACTGTGTTCTTTTGACTGCTGAGGGACTGTAGATGAAAATGGGCTTCAAACTAAAGCTCACACTGCAGGATTTAAAAAAACCTCTGGTATCATCACACACATCAGGAGAATCTGAAAAGATCTTCTTCTTTATAATATCAAGCATGCACACACTACAAGATGTACACTTTTATCGGGGGTTACTTTGGATGGCAAAACTTAAAGCAAATAGTGCTGGAAAGGAAACTACAGAAGACAACATTTCAGAGCTGCGTATCCATTAACATCTTTTTGAAAGTTTTAATGTCTTTTGTCTTCCAGTTCCACTTCTCCAGACTTGGTCCACTCTTTTTTCCTCCTCTCCACGTCCCAATTACTCCAGACCTCCATCCTCTCAGTCCTTCACCAACCTGCACAACATCAGAGCAGCCCAGTCCAGATTTGCTAGCAAGGTTGAATTCCCAACTGGGCTTCAGCCACGTTCCTGCAGAGAGAAATACTGCACAGCTGACCAATCAACCTGAAGGTAAGAAGAAACTACAGAATCTGCAGCCAGAAGAGCAGAAATTCCATAAAGATTAAGGTCTAGTACAAACATTGAGGTATTTCCTCTGTTTAAAAAAATAAAATCCCGTCCACATGCTCACTTCTGAAAAACATCAAAAACGCTGTTACGGCTGTCATTAACGCGGTCAGTCAACAGGAGGTGATTCCTCTGCAATGAACCTTTCATTTTCACAAAGTGTCCCACCAACCAACCAACCTAATCACATGGTTTCAAATTTAAAAATAGCGTCAGTTAGACTTTTACAGCTTATTGAAGCATACCACATGATGTTAAGCACAGAAACAGGAAGTGGTTAGGGATCCCAAAGTGAGGTCAAACAGCTCAAAGGAACGGTAACAAAGGTCAATGTTTGATGTCATAAGGTCAATGTGTGATGTCATAAGGTGGATATTACTTTGGACTCATCAGCTGAGCTGTCTGAGAGTTTGTTAAAGTGAAATGAGACATTCAAAGATGCAGCAGTGTCCTTCTGTTACATCACTGAGACTACAGGGAGACACTGAGGACCACTATCTACGGAGAGCCTGAAGGGACAAAATAGCACATTAGCTCACGACCTCAATTCATCGTTATTAACTAGTGGAAGCTGACAACCAAACGTTTTTACAAAAATTATTTTGGAGTCATGTGGCATCAATAAAATGAGATAAAGAAGTGGGACAAAGCAGCCAGTATGTTCAGATCTTAAGTTTCTCTGCAGATAAAGAGGAGCAGGGCAGCAGGAAGAGAGTCAGGCTGGACCTCTTCCTCCAGGTTCCCTGCTCCACCAGGACTCCTTCTCCACTGATGGAGCCTCAGCCCTGGGTACACTATGTAGCAATGACCCCAGAAGAACCACTGGTGAGAAGACACCTCTCAATTTATCATTTTTAGATTAATTTTATTGGTCATACACCTCGATGTGGTCTTGATGAACTCTTATTTTGCAGACTTACGTTGACATTAGTCCACAGCAGCCTGACAGTTCACAGAATATCAAAACAAATGATCCGAGTGTGGGAGAGAAGCTGCACCATCAAAACTCTGACTGTGATGAGTCAGAAGGTCAAGGCGGTCACCAAGCTGAAAGAAGATCTGCTGATATGAGTGAAAAATCCAGCAGCAGGAACTGGCATAGGAGGACAGGTGTGTGTTACAGGTGGTAGTGTTTTAGTCGAGACCACAATAACTGAGACCAAGTCATAACCGAGACCAGGGTGCTCAGAGACCCAGACATGTAGGGATCGAGACTGAATCAAGACCAAGAACAAGGCAGGGCAAGACCAAGAAAAGACTAAGGCGAGACCGAGTCAAGACCAAGACCAAGACATGTAGGGATCGAGACCGAATCAAGACCAAGACAAGACCAAGACGAGACTGAGTCAAGACCAAGATCAAAGCAGGGCGAGACAGAGTCAAGAAAAAGACCAAGGCAGGTCGAGACCGAGTCAGAAACAAGACCAAGACAGGACGAGACCGAGTCAAGACCAAGACCAAGACAGGACGAGACCGAGTCAAGACCAAGACCAAGACAGGACGAGACCGAGTCAAGGCTAAGACCAAGGCAGGTCGAGACCGAGTCAGAAACAAGACCAAGACAGGATGAGACCGAGTCAAGACCAAGACCAAGACAGGACGAGACCGAGTCAAGGCTAAGACTAAGGCAGGGCGAGATTGAGTCAAGACCAAGACCAAGACCAAGACAGGACGAGACCGAGTCAAGACCAAGACCAAGACCAAGACCAAGACAGGACGAGACCGAGTCAAGACCAAGACCAAGACAGGACGAGACCGAGTCAAGGCTAAGACTAAGGCAGGGCGAGATTGAGTCAAGACCAAGACCAAGACCAAGACAGGACGAGACCGAGTCAAGACCAAGACCAAGACCAAGACCAAGACCAAGACCAAGACCAAGACCAAGACAGGACGAGACCGAGTCAAGACCAAGACCAAGACAGGACGAGACAGAGTCAAGGAAAAGACCAAGGCAGGTCGAGACCAAGTCAGAAACAAGACCAAGACAGGACGAGACCGAGCAAAGACCAAGACCAAGACAGGACGAGACTGAGTCAAGGCCAAGACCAAGGCAGGGCGAGACCGAGTCAAGACCAAGACCAAGACCAAGACAGGACGAGACAGAGTCAAGACCAAGACCAAGACAGGGCGAGACCGAGTCAAGACCAAGACCAAGGCAGGGTGAGACCGAGTCTAGACCAAGACCAAGACAGGACGAGACCGAGTCAAGGCCAAGACCAAGGCAGGGCGAGACCGAGTCAAGACCAAGACCAAGACAGGACGAGACCGAGTCAAGGCCAAGACCAAGGCAGGGCGAGACCGAGTCAAGACCAAGACCAAGACCAAGACAGGACAAGACCGAGTCAAGACCAAGACCAAGACAGGACGAGACCAAGTCAAGACCAAGACCAATACAGGACGAGACCAAGTCAAGACCAAGACCAAGACAGGACGAGACCGAGTCAAGGCCAAGACCAAGACAGGACGAGACCGAGTCAAGACCAAGACCAAGACAGGACGAGACCGAGTCAAGGCCAAGACCAAGGCAGGGCGAGACCGAGTCAAGACCAAGACCAAGACCAAGACAGGATGAGACCGAGTCAAGACCAAGACCAAGACAGGACGAGACCGAGTCAAGACCAAGACCAAGGCAGGGCGAGACCGAGTCAAGACCAAAACCAAGACAGGACGAGACCGAGTCAAGGCCAAGACCAAGGCAGGGCGAGACCAAGACCAAGACCAAGACCAAGACCAAGACCAAGACCAAGACCAAGACCAAGACCAAGACAGGATGAGACCGAGTCAAGACCAAGACCAAGACAGGACGAGACCGAGTCAAGACCAAGACCAAGACCAAGACAGGACGAGACCGAGTCAAGACCAAGACCAAGGCAGGGCGAGACCGAGTCAAGACCAAAACCAAGACAGGACGAGACCGAGTCAAGGCCAAGACCAAGGCAGGGCGAGACCAAGACCAAGACCAAGACCAAGACCAAGACAGGATGAGACCGAGTCAAGACCAAGACCAAGACAGGACGAGACCGAGTCAAGACCAAGACCAAGGCAGGGCGAGACCGAGTCAAGACCAAAACCAAGACAGGACGAGACCGAGTCAAGGCCAAAACCAAGACAGGACGAGACCGAGTCAAGGCCAAGACCAAGACAGGATGAGACCGAGTCAAGACCAAGACCAAGACCAAGACCAAGGCAGGGCGAGACAGAGTCAAGACCAAGACCATAAATATCACTGACAAATCATCATCTTGTGTTTAGGGGGCGTGTCACACACTTAGACCGTAACTGGGAAGTTTGCGGCCGTAACCAGGAATAAAATTCAAAACAACAAATGAATTTTTTTTTTTTAAATAGCTGATCAGTGGTGGTCTTTACCGGTCTTGGTTAAAAAACCAGAGTCCGCCCAGTCTGAGACTGAGACGAGACCGAATAAAAATACTTTTGATTCTGAGAGCTTTAAAAAGTGGTTTTGAGACCAGGATGACCAAGACGATTTCGAGAACTACAACAGTAGCAGGTGTTCTGTCATGACAGAAGAAATAAGATGTTAGGTGAAGAGATGTCCTGTACTGCATCATCTTGTCCTCACCATCATCTTTCAGTGAGACCGCGAGGTGTGAAGCAGCAGGCGAGCCACGAGCCTGAAACAAACACTACTTCAGGTATCAGCCGCAGAGATTTGCTGTTATTAGTATCAGCGGCAGTAGAACACAACATTAACCCTTTAAAAGGTCTGATGCTCTTTCTTCTCTCCACACACACAGGCCTTCTTCCTCCTCTAACTGGGGGACAACCAGTCTCTCCTGGAGCATTCTGGGAGAAATCAGACACGGTAAGACTAGGCTAACAACAACAACTGTTTAAATCACTCCCTCTGGCAGCTCCCTGCATTGAACAGAGAAGTTCAGGGTTAGATTTAAGAGTCTATCAATCACTTTCAAAGCTCCTCACAGTCTGTCCTAACTGCCCACACCCTGTTTCTCTTTTCCTCTCTGACTCTCTCTCTCCTCCCTCAGCAGAGCTCGTTAGCTTGTTTTACAAAGTCGAGATAACGGCGCATTAATAATATCCACATCATGATTGAAATGTTGACCTTTGACCTGTGTCAACACCGGAGAAAAACGTCTTTCCGGCTTAATGCAAGCCATTTATTGACGAGACTGAGTGTGGGGATTTGAGTCCACAGCTCGTCAATACAAAGCACCACACTGCAGTTTGTCTACCTTCAAAATAAAAGCACCACACTTCAGTTTGTCTACCTTCAAAATAAAAGCACCACACTTCAGTTTGTCTACCTTCAAAATAAAAAGACCACACTTCAGTTTGTCAGCCTTCAAATTAAAAGCACCACACTTCAGTTTGTCCACCTTCAAAATAAAAGCACCACACTGCAGTTTGTCTACCTTCAAAATAAAAGCACCACACTTCAGTTTGTCTACCTTCAAAATAAAAGTACCACACTTCAGGTTGTCCGCCTTCAAAATAAAAGCACCACACTTCAGTTTGTCAGCCTTCAAATTGAAAGCACCACACTTCAGTTTGTCCACCTTCAAAATAAAAGCACCACACTTCAGTTTGTCCGCCTTCAAAATAAAAGCACCACACTTCAGTTTGTCAGCCTTCAAATTAAAAGCACCACACTTCAGTTTGTCCACCTTCAAAATAAAAGCACCACACTTCAGTTTGTCCGCCTTCAAAATAAAAGCACCACACTGCAGTTTGTCCACCTTCAAAATAAAAGTACCACACTTCAGTTTGTCCGCCTTCAAAATAAAAGCACCACACTTCAGCTTGTCAGCCTTCAAATTAAAAGCACCACACTTCAGTTTGTCCGCCTTCAAAATAAAAGCACCACACTTCAGTTTGTCCGCCTTCAAAATAAAAGCACCACACTGCAATTTGTCTAGCTTCAAAATAAAAGTAAGTCCAAAAAAAAAAACAGCCCAAAGGTTCCCCAAATGATATTATTCATTTTACCACAACACAAAAATAGATCAACTTTAAAACCATTATGTTTTGTTTCAGCTGAAGCGGGAGGGTCCCAGCAGAGATGAACGCCACACTCAGCTCCTTCCGCCAATATCAGAGAATCGAACTGGAACGCCAGATTCTCCAACAAAGGTCCAGACCCAGCACGATGTTCAACAGAGGTCAAAGAGGGTCGGATATCAGTGCAGAGACGACCTCAAAAGACTCCATCAGCAGCCTCTCAGCCTTCCTCAGCTGGTTCATGGTAACAACAACAACACACACACACACACACACACACACACACACACACACACACACACACACACACACACACAGATTCAATTCAAGAATCTTTAGCGTCACAGCAGTTGATCGTTAAAGATAAAGATGAATGACTGTCCTGATTACAAACAAAGTTTTTTGTGAAGAAAGGCGGTCTAGACTGAAAGTCAGAGGCCGTATACAAATCCTTTTTTAACAGGGGATGTCGGAAACTTGGTTCGTAATCAGGACGGTCATTCATTTATTAGCCAACACCTTGTTGCCAAAGATCTGATTTTCTTAATATTTTGACTTTTGTCTCGTCTGTCCTGCAGAAGAATTAAGTGGAAAGAAAAAGTCTGGAGGAGGTGAAATATCACAGAGACACTACTTAAGAAAGGAGACAGTCGGACATGGAGGAGGAGGAGGAGGAGGAAGAGGAGAGGGAGGAGGGAGACTGCCCTCTGAGAGAGGCTCTGTGATATTATTGGCCCCTGGAGCAGGTACATTATATAAAATGATCTATTCAGAGTCTGTTTGGTAGTTTATGTTTTATATCTTCTTACCCAATGTCCCGCCCCGAAGATGAACAAAATACTTCCTCTCCAGATATTTGTGGTTCTTTGTAATCTTCTTGTTTGTTTGCACTGCCTTCTCCTCTGATGTGTCACCTCCTGCAGAGCCTCCTCCTGCAGGAGTGTTGGGTTGTGTTGCAGGAAGGAAAGGTCCAGGTAAGCAGACATCTTTGGCCTTCTTACAGAACCAGCTTCTCGACCTCCAGGACTCCGGAGCACCCGACGATGACAACAGAGGGGTGGTGAGAGGCGTTCTGCCTCTGGAGCTGAGAGGTATGAGGAGGCGGGACCACTGAACATACACTTCCCTTTATTTTGACTAAGCTTTAAGTGATTCCAATAGAAAGAACTGTATCTACTGCATGTGTTTGATGCAAGGTGACTTGAAACGTCACAAATTATTTGTTTTAATTTCTCTTCTGTTTTGCTGTAATTGTATTTTTTTCCTTCCAGATTTGAAGAACGGCCGATCTGTTGGCTGTCTGATTGTTGGTCCTGATGGGGAGATCCTTCGACTCTCTCTGTACGATAACAGCCAGGACCAAACTGCCAGTGACGGCGAAACAAGGGAGCAAGGTACAAGCGTTTAAGTACGAACATCCACCCTCAAGAAACAGCATCGTCCCCGTGTCAGTAACTCACTCTCTGCTTCTTAGCTCTCCAGGTTTTGTCTCCAGAAGGGGAGAAGTTACCCTGGGTCATTATGCTGCAGCCTGAGAATACAGATACAGGTCTGTACACACACACACACACACACACACACACACACATGTCCTTCCTCTGTCATCTCATCCTGCTACATCTGGAGCACCTGGGCCCATTGCTCCTCCCAGGATATACAAACCCAGCTTCCTGTGCCTCCCTCTGTGTCGTTTACTGTTCATCGTGTTTGTGTGTAGGAGGGTCGGAGCAGAACACACACCTTCCTGATGAACATGTCCCGCTCCATCAGTCCATTCCTCAGGTAAATCAGTTCACTCTTTGTCATCATGCAGATGATCCTCAGTCTGATCAGGAACAAATGAAACAAAACCAAGAAGCCATCATTGAAATGTATCATTAGAGATCAAGCTTTCCTCGTATCTGTCAGGTTGTCTTTTCTCAAAGCAGCTCTCAGATATTCACAGATCAGCGGACGTCTTTCCCCCCAGCAGCCTCACAGACTCAGGTAAGGCTCCTGAGTGAAGCTGCTTATGCGACTGTAATCAGGATTTAAATACAAATCACATGTGTTTGTCCCTTCAGTGGCTCAGACCAGGAAGAAAACAAAGAGTGCCGAGGCAGCAGTGGACACGTGGAAGTCAGGATTAAAGGGTGCCAGAAACAATGTTAGGATGCCTCCATTGAGGGAGAGGGTTGTTAGTACAGAGAGAGGAGGTGATGCTGAAGATGAGGATGAAGACGAGGGATTGCAGCAGCCGGGGTTGGTTTCATTCACAACTTATTTGTTAATCATAAGAAGAATGCATGTTTAATTCTCTTTATCTAAAAGCTTTCTCTGCCTTTCTTCTTTTGCACCAACACACTCTTCTTTAAAGGCTTTATGTGTGATGTTTTTTGATCCAGTAGATGTCGCCCTTGAGCACCAGCATGAAACCAAAACAACTCGTGCTGCATTGTTGTGTTAGCATGCTAATGCTAGTGATCTTTATTATGCTGGTATCTTCACACTGCATGTAAATTGACCTGAAATGAGCGTGATCTAGAAACACAGTTAAGCAGTGAGTACAGTATGTTATTCTTCTTTTCTCTAGTCCCTCAATTAAACAACTTTTATACACGAGGGGAGGAGTCAGCCGGCCGTCCGGGCGATGTAAACAAAGTGAAGATAGGACTCTGAAAACTGTGAAAACATCACAGACAGTGGGACTCGGGTGTTACACCCATTGTAGACAGTCATGACTCACAGAGTTATTTTCAGAGGAGATACTTGATTTATATATTTAAGGTGAAAAATCACAAATAAAGACTTCAAAATAAACTTCTATAAAATAATATTTGTCTGCAGACACAAAAAAAAAGGAGATTTTTTACATTTTTCCAAAGAGAAGCTGCAGTTAAAAGATGATGTTTCATGCAGGCAGCAGAACATCGACCCGATCGAAGCAACATCAGAGGACGCTTTGAAGAAGAGTGCTGAGGGAGCTGCAGTAACCACAAGGTGAGCGAGGAATACTCTCAAACTCTTCAGTTCAGAAACATTACACACACTTAAACTGACAATAATGTCATCCGTTTATTTTGAAGAAGTGATAAGAAAACGGGGAAAAGTGAGGAATCAGATGGAGGGAAGAAGGCTTCGAGGATGAGGAGAGAAGGAAGATCAGAAAAAGAAAAGACAGGAAGAGATGCTCCATCAGTCGTCAGCAGGAGACGAGAGGAGAGGACCCTCAGAGGAGCAGCAGAGACTAAAGCCCCGTCTGCTCGCCCTCCTCATGTGAGTTATATTAAAATGACTGATGTACTCGTGGTATTTTATTATGCAGGGCGCTGCGGCTGTGGCTTCTGAATCCCATCACACCAAAACGTTTGCAACACATGAATGTATAAATCATGGCATAAAGTTTACAAGTGCTTTCCTGTCCTCGTCTGTAAATCAAGATGACAGACGTGAAAGGAACGAGAGGAGAAGGGCAGGAGAACGAGGAGAGAGAGGGGCGAGGAGAAGAGGTGAGGAGGAGGCAAGAGTCTGCTGGGAAGAGAAGAAGAAGAAGGCTGAAACACAAAGACTTAGTTTTGGGTAAGATGCTGCAAAAACATGAAATTCATCAACAGTAAAGTATTAAGATCAAATATTGTCAGACTTGTTGAAAAAGTAGTTTTCATGTTTTAGTAGTGTTTCTTCTGCAATCCTGTCCTGTGTTATTAATGTCATAGGAAGCCCAGAGGACTCCCTGGAGAATCAGGAGGCGGAGACACACCAAGAACTGAAAGAAGAGTCTCATCCGGCATCCCCAACAAATCCCTCTGCAGCACAAAACCACAAGAACAGAACAAACTCAGAGGGAGACGCTGCAGAAACCGACCGTCTTTACACAGACGCTGACAAACTCGCCAGCGTGCGCTCGGTGAGCTCGCTCAGGTCGACTGCAGCTGCATCACAGTCCACTCTGAAGAGCTCCAGGCGGTCTGTTGCATCCTCCTGTGAGGGGGCGGGGCCAGCCAGCGCCCTGGGTCTCACTTCATCACATGGTCGCCTCTCGTCATGTTCAACTGTCATGGTAACTGAGGAACAGCTGATGCTGAACCCGGCGAAACCAGAGGTGAGTAGGAAGAACAAAACAGGAAGTACAGGACTTTAAACATTTTTCAAATCAAATTTTAATATATTGATAATTATTCCGTAACACCAGATGTTTATTTTCAGTCGGTTAATTAAAGTTATTGAACTACACCATCCCTCTGGGTCACCAAGCAAAGTTAAAAACACAAAAACAGTCCATGCAACGACCTCTGATTCAACTCATTGTGCACATTCTGACTCTGTGTGTGTTTATTTGTGTGTGAAAGGCGTCCAAGCCGAGAAAGAGTCAGAGAGAGGAGGAAGAGGAGGCGGCAGCGCTGCGTCTCACCCAGCAGGCAGAAAAACGGAGGCGGGAGGTGGAGAGGAAGAGGAGGGAGCGGGAGGAAGAGGCGAGGAGGCAGCAGGAGAGGGAGCAGACAGAGGACAGGATGAAGAGCGAGCTGGAGGAGGAGAGAAGGAGGAGAGCTGAGGAGCTCAGGTTGTGACTTTAGTTTTACCTCTGAAGGTTTAAGATGGTTCAGGTGTGTCTTCAAATAAAAGTATTAATCCCGGGCTCGTCGGGTTTAAGATGTAGTCATTGGGAAAACATGCTATTAATCTATTATCCATCTATTAATTACAACCATATTTGCAGAAAGACAAATATTCAGCTTGAAATAATTTAAACAGTAACTTCATGGACCAATAATGTCAATGTCAGGCGATTACTTGAAGCAGAACTCGGCTGATTCCATTCATATTTAATCTCCAACCTCCAGATTGAAGAGGATGGCGGAGGAGGAGAAGAGGAGGAAGCAGGAGGAAGAGGAGCAGGCTCGAGAGAGACGGGAACAGGAGCAAAGAGAAAGAGAGAGAAGGAGGCAGGAGGAGAAGATGCGTCAGATGGAGAGACTCCAGAAGATGAGAGAGGAGGAGGAACAGAGGAGGAGAGGTGAGGAGGAGGAGGGAGAGGTAGAGGAGTCAGAGGGTTAAAAAGAAAAAAGAACAATCATCTGTGTATTCAGATCCTCTGCAGATTCATCATTATGATCAGAAAATGTATTTCAATATCCTTCAATTTACATTCTTTCTCCCTCAGCTGAACTTGAGCGTCTGCGACAGGAAGAGGAGACGAGCAGGAGGAGGAGAACAGGAAGTTACAGGAGATGGATGAGAATGAGAGGGTGGAGTACCTCAGCAGGAAGGAGCAGGAGGAGGAGGAGAGGAGGAAGAACGAAGAGGAGCGGAGGAGAAGAGAGGAGGAGGCAGCTCTACAGGCTGCAGAGGACGCCAAGCTGCAGGCCGAGCTGCTAGCCAGGTATAAACTCTGGATGTTAGAAACACATATTCTATACCTGACATAATTACATTCAATACTTTTCATATTCCTTTGTATTTGAATGTCTAAAGAAGAGTTGCTCAATCAATGTTTAAGAAAGGAAGAATTAAAGACATATTCATAACACCGTTCATCTCTTTCTCTCTTGTCTCGCTCCATCTGTCCTCCCTGCAGACAGATGGCGCTGTTGGAGCAGCAGTTGGCCTTTAAACGGGGGCTTGCGTTGGAGGCTGGGGGTCTGGAGAAAACTCAAGGAATTTCCAGACCTGGGTTTACTCTTATTTTACTTTGTTGCAGCTACTGGGTCTCAATCCAACTTAACGTGAGGCCGAAGATGACAGGACGCCTCCGTCTGAGATCTTTCTACTCGGTCCCTCACTCAGCGACCTCATGGATTAGATCCAGTTATTGAAAATGAGCACGTTCATATCGATGCTCCTCGTCTTTTACTTGAAGATAAAAAAACCCTTTACCATCGTCTGTTTACCTTTGAGGGATATTCTCACGTTTCTACAAAAGATCAAACTTTACATACATGATGTTTTTCTTGTCTGCCTTTTTAATGTTATTTAGTTTTTTCTTGTTGATATTTATCTTATTATTCTTACACTAAGAAAAATCCTGACGATGTTCATACTCAGGGAGTAGAGACTGGTCGTTACAAATAGAGCTGGCTCCCGGAGGAGGACAGACTCAGTGCGCTCAGTGTGACACCTTACAGGTAGAGACGGAGCTCCACCTCCTCACATCGAGGCCAAAATACCAGACTGTGAGAGAGGAATACTTCCCCCAGATAACACATGTAAACCCTGAGTTTGAACATACACCACACGTATCTGCTAGAAGAAAAACAAAATTGTCAAACACACAGAAGGCCCTAAATACACACACACACACACACACACACACACACACACACACACACACACGGCCCTACACATCTTCACACACATACGCACACAAACACACTAAACCAATCTACACACAAAAGGCACAAACACACATAACACCAATGTTAAACACACACACACTCACTAGTACTTTAAAACAATAAATTCCACTTTTTTATTTAATCTCTTGAGTTTTTGTACTAGATTACTCTTGTTTTAATATAATTATTGATAATTATTATTGTTACAATTGAATTATTAATTATGACTGTTATATTATTATTGCATTCTTTGTTATTGTATATTTTGCCAATATTGTCACATTCATGCCAATAAAGCTTACTGCATTAAATTGAAAGAGCGTCTTTTACACAACAGAGTGATCATCTTTCTAATAGACGGACTTTGCATTCCAACCCGGAAGTAGTTATCCGTGTACCTCTGCCGATGTTTGTTGTGATGGAAAATAAACGCTCAAATTCAGCTCCTATTATTCAGCTTTTAGTCCAGAATAACATCTCCGTCCACTGTTTGCTTTATAATGGAAGAGTCTGTGTTTGAATGATGATGTTTAGGAGTCAGTAAGAAGGAGTTTAGTGTTTATAATCATTCTGTTTCTGATCGTTAGCACCAACGGTTAGCCAACAGGTCGGAGCTGTAAGCTAGCTAAACGGTTTAACGCGTTTCTTACCCGGTAAGTAAACATCTAAACATCTAAACATCTAAACATCTTAACATCTTAACATCTAAACATCTAAACATCTAAACATCTAAACATCTAAACATCTAAACATCTTAACATCTAAACATCTAAACATCTAAACATCTAAACATCTAAACATCTAAACATCTAAACATCTTCACATCTAAACATCTTCACATCTTAACATCTTAACATCTTCACATCTTAACATCTAAACATCTTCACATCTTAACATCTTAACATCTAAACATCTTCACATCTTAACATCTTAACATCTAAACATCTAAACATCTAAACATCTAAACATCTTCACATCTAAACATCTAAACATCTAAACATCTTCACATCTTCACATCTAAACATCTAAACATCTTAACATCTTAACATCTTAACATCTAAACATCTAAACATCTAAACATCTAAACATCTAAACATCTTCACATCTAAACATCTAAACATCTAAACATCTAAACATCTAAACATCTTAACATCTAAACATCTTAACATCTTAACATCTAAACATCTAAACATCTTCACATCTTCACATCTAAACATCTAAACATCTAAACATCTTAACATCTTAACATCTAAACATCTTAACATCTTAACATCTAAACATCTAAACATCTTAACATCTTAACATCTAAACATCTTAACATCTAAACATCTTCACATCTTCACATCTAAACATCTTCACATCTTCACATCTAAACATCTTAACATCTAAACATCTTCACATCTTCACATCTAAACATCTTAACATCTAAACATCTAAACATCTTAACATCTTAACATCTAAACATCTTAACATCTTAACATCTTAACATCTAAACATCTAAACATCTAAACATCTTAACATCTAAACATCTTAACATCTTAACATCTAAACATCTTAACATCTAAACATCTTCACATCTTCACATCTAAACATCTTCACATCTTCACATCTAAACATCTTAACATCTAAACATCTTCACATCTTAACATCTAAACATCTTAACATCTAAACATCTTCACATCTTCACATCTAAACATCTTAACATCTTAACATCTAAACATCTTAACATCTAAACATCTTCACATCTTCACATCTAAACATCTTCACATCTTCACATCTAAACATCTTAACATCTAAACATCTTAACATCTTAACATCTAAACATCTTAACATCTAAACATCTTCACATCTTCACATCTAAACATCTTCACATCTTCACATCTAAACATCTTAACATCTAAACATCTTCACATCTTCACATCTAAACATCTTAACATCTAAACATCTAAACATCTTAACATCTTAACATCTAAACATCTAAACATCTTAACATCTTCACATCTAAACATCTAAACATCTAAACATCTTCACATCTTCACATCTTAACATCTAAACATCTTAACATCTTAACATCTTAACATCTAAACATCTAAACATCTAAACATCTAAACATCTTAACATCTAAACATCTAAACATCTTCACATCTTCACATCTAAACATCTTAACATCTTAACATCTAAACATCTTAACATCTAAACATCTTCACATCTTCACATCTTCACATCTAAACATCTAAACATCTAAACATCTAAACATCTAAACATCTTAACATCTAAACATCTAAACATCTAAACATCTTAACATCTAAACATCTAAACATCTTAACATCTAAACATCTTAACATCTAAACATCTTAACATCTTCACATCTTCACATCTAAACATCTAAACATCTTAACATCTAAACATCTAAACATCTTAACATCTAAACATCTTAACATCTTCACATCTTCACATCTAAACATCTAAACATCTTAACATCTAAACATCTTAACATCTAAACATCTAAACATCTTAACATCTAAACATCTTCACATCTTCACATCTTCACATCTAAACATCTAAACATCTAAACATCTTAACATCTAAACATCTAAACATCTTAACATCTAAACATCTTCACATCTTCACATCTTCACATCTAAACATCTTAACATCTAAACATCTAAACATCTTAACATCTAAACATCTTAACATCTTCACATCTTCACATCTAAACATCTTAACATCTTAACATCTAAACATCTAAACATCTAAACATCTAAACATCTTAACATCTAAACATCTAAACATCTTAACATCTAAACATCTAAACATCTAAACATCTAAACATCTTCACATCTTCACATCTTCACATCTAAACATCTTAACATCTAAACATCTAAACATCTTAACATCTAAACATCTTAACATCTTCACATCTTCACATCTAAACATCTTAACATCTAAACATCTAAACATCTAAACATCTTAACATCTAAACATCTAAACATCTTAACATCTAAACATCTAAACATCTAAACATCTTCACATCTTCACATCTAAACATCTAAACATCTAAACATCTTCACATCTTCACATCTTCACATCTAAACATCTTAACATCTAAACATCTAAACATCTTAACATCTAAACATCTTAACATCTTCACATCTTCACATCTAAACATCTTAACATCTAAACATCTAAACATCTAAACATCTTAACATCTAAACATCTAAACATCTTAACATCTAAACATCTAAACATCTTAACATCTAAACATCTAAACATCTTAACATCTAAACATCTAAACATCTACACATCTTCACATCTTCACATCTAAACATCTTCACATCTAAACATCTTAACATCTAAACATCTTAACATCTAAACATCTAAACATCTTAACATCTAAACATCTTCACATCTAAACATCTTCACATCTAAACATCTTAACATCTAAACATCTAAACATCTTAACATCTAAACATCTAAACATCTTAACATCTAAACATCTAAACATCTTAACATCTAAACATCTAAACATCTTCACATCTTCACATCTAAACATCTAAACATCTAAACATCTTAACATCTAAACATCTAAACATCTTCACATCTTCACATCTTCACATCTAAACATCTTAACATCTAAACATCTTAACATCTAAACATCTTCACATCTTCACATCTAAACATCTTCACATCTAAACATCTTAACATCTAAACATCTAAACATCTTCACATCTTCACATCTAAACATCTAAACATCTTCACATCTTCACATCTTCACATCTAAACATCTTCACATCTAAACATCTTCACATCTAAACATCTAAACATCTTAACATCTAAACATCTAAACATCTTAACATCTTAACATCTTAACATCTAAACATCTTAACATCTTAACATCTAAACATCTAAACATCTTAACATCTAAACATCTAAACATCTTCACATCTAAACATCTTAACATCTAAACATCTAAACATCTTAACATCTAAACATCTTAACATCTTAACATCTTAACATCTAAACATCTTCACATCTTCACATCTTCACATCTAAACATCTTCACATCTTCACATCTAAACATCTTCACATCTAAACATCTTAACATCTAAACATCTAAACATCTTCACATCTAAACATCTAAACATCTAAACATCTTCACATCTTAACATCTAAACATCTAAACATCTTCACATCTAAACATCTAAACATCTTAACATCTAAACATCTTAACATCTAAACATCTTCACATCTAAACATCTAAACATCTTAACATCTAAACATCTAAACATCTTAACATCTTAACATCTTAACATCTAAACATCTTCACGTCTAAACGTCTAAACGTCTTAACGTCTAAACGTCTTAACGTCTTCACGTCTAAACGTCTTAACGTCTTAACGTCTAAACGTCTAAACGTCTTCACGTCTTCACGTCTTCACGTCTAAACGTCTAAACGTCTTAACGTCTTAACGTCTTAACGTCTAAACGTCTTCACGTCTTCACGTCTAAACGTCTTAACGTCTAAACATCTAAACCTTCACGTCTAAACGTCTAAACGTCTTAACGTCTTAACGTCTTAACGTCTAAACGTCTAAACGTCTTAACGTCTTAACGTCTTAACGTCTTAACGTCTAAACGTCTAAACGTCTTAACGTCTTAACGTCTAAACGTCTTAACGTCTAAACGTCTTAACGTCTAAACGTCTAAACGTCTTAACGTCTAAACGTCTTCACGTCTTCACGTCTAAACGTCTTAACGTCTAAACGTCTTCACGTCTTCACGTCTTCACGTCTTCACGTCTAAACGTCTAAACGTCTAAACGTCTTAACGTCTAAACGTCTAAACGTCTTAACGTCTAAACGTCTTAACGTCTTAACGTCTTAACGTCTTAACGTCTAAACGTCTAAACGTCTTAACGTCTAAACGTCTAAACGTCTTAAC